GGCCAGACTTATTGGACTGGTAGAGACTAGAGGAATCCCTGAGACTACTGCTCTGAGATACCCTTTAAACTTTGAACTGAAACTACTTCCAGAGGTCACCTTTCAGCTAAATAACAGATTGGCTCATAAAATAAACAATATCACTCAAGAGTCCTTTGCTTCTTTAAAAAAAAAATCATCTATATGAGATCAAACAGTCAACATTTACCTTAAAGCTTAGATGAGAAGGTGTGGGCAGGGAAGCTGGATTAATGGAAACAGAACAACCAGAGCAAAAATATAGAGAATGTTGACACAATGTGGAAAATGTAACCCATGTCACTAAACAATATGTATACAAATTGTTAAATAGGAAAGTAATTTGCTGTGTAAACTTTCACCAAAAACTCAGCAAAATATTTATTAAAAAAAACAAATAAAACAAAAACCACCACCATCACACCCAAAAAAGGAAAGAAAATAAGACAATTAGGAAAATGTAAATAGTAATTGGATATTTGATATTAAAGAATTATTAATTAAAAAAATAAGATGGATTAATAAACGGGTAGATGTGATAAAGCAAGTATAGTAAAATGCTAATGTTAATATCTAGGTAGTATACATGGGTATTTAGGAATCCATAGATAGTGCAAGGAGCCCTGGTGGCTAGTGGTTAAGAGCTACGGCTGCTAACCAAAAGATGGGCAGTTCGAATCCACCAGCCACTCCTTGGAAACCCTATGGGGCAGTTCTACTCTGTCCTACACAGTCGCTATGAGTCAGAACTGACTTGACGGCAATGGGTTTGGGTCTTTAGTTTTGTGGTGCAAGTGGTCAAAGGGCTTGGCTGCTAACCAAAAGATTGGAGGTTCGAGTTCACCCAGAGGTGCCTTGGAAGAAAGGCCTGGTGATCTACTTCTGAAAGATCAGCCACCTAAAACCCTATGGAGCACAGTTCTACTCCGACACACATGGGGTTGCCATGAGTCGGAATCAACTTGACAGCAACTGGTAATATATGGGTGTTTACTGTAAAATTATTTCTTTGGAAAAAAATTTGTTGCTGTGTGTATGAAAACAAGAAAAATTCAGTTCCTCAGTTGCACTAGCCATATTTCAAGTGCTCAACAGCCACATGTGGCAAGTGACTACTCGACTGGACGGGTCAACTATAGAACATTCCATCACAGCAGAAAGTGCTGTTGGACAGCACTGCTCTAGGGTTAGCCAAACATAGGTCGAATCCAGCTCTGCCATTTGCCAGCTGTGTGGCCTTAGGCAATTGCTTCACCTCTTTTATGCCTCAGTTTCCTCATCTATAGGGTCAATAGCACCACTACCTCATGAGGTTGCTGGGGGCATCAAATGAAATCTGTGTGTGAGCTCTTAGCACAGTGCTGAAAGTGCTCAACTCAAGGATGGGGATTATCATCATTAGGCCAGTCCCCTCAATGGAGGGTACTGAGGCCAGAAAGGAAGAGAGACTTGCCCAAGATCACAGATGGAGCAGTGGGTCTTCTTATCCCAAGCCATCTCCCTCTACAGCCAAGCTACCTCTCTCTCCCAAGACCCATGACAAAGTCCCTCTGCACACCTGCCTAGGTGTGGAAACATACGTAGGAGGAGGTCATCCATCCAAGATCTCTGGCAGCATCCCTTCTATCTGATGACAGCCTCAGCTGAAACCCACAATTTTTGGCTTCTCCTTTCTTAGGTGCACAGTGGTTAAATGCTCAGCTGCTAACCAAAAGGTTGGCAGTTCAAATCCACCAGCTGCTCCTTGGAAACCCTATCAGGCAGTTCTACTCTGTCCTATTGGGTCACTATGAGTCGGAATCAACTTGACAGAAATAGGTTTAGTAACCACGACTCAAGGACCTCTGGTGGCACAATGGTTAAGCGCTCAGTTGCTAATTGAAAGGTTGGCAGTTTGATCCTACCCAGCAGCTCTGAGGGAGAAAGACCTGGAGATCTGCTTCCATAAAGATTACAGCCTAGAAAACCTGTGGGGCAGTTCTACTCTGTCACATGGGATCACTATGAGTCAGAATCTTGACAGCACCGAAAAACAACAACCCCCGACTCAGTCAGGTAACCCCCGCCCAATGTTGGTCCCTCCCCGCCCACCTTGGCAGGTCTTGGTGCATGGCTTCCAATACTTCTTGGTGATAATGGGCAGGCACACCTCTCCGTTCTCATCCACGTTGGGGTGGTAGATATTCGTTGTGAATTTCAGTTTGGGGGGCTTGAATGGATACTCCTCAGAGAAATCAATGCGCAGGTTGAAGGCTCTCAGGTTGTAAGGTGGTTGGTCCTGTGGGGAGAGAAAGGGTCAAGCTCTGCTCCAGGTATTACTGCTCAACAGACCACCTTTCTCTTGGAGTCCTGGTCTGGTTTTCCTCCCCCCACTCCCATCACAGTGTCACAGGCATCCTCTGCTCCACTCCTGGGAAGAATCTTGAGCAGGGGGTAAGGATGGCACCTGAATTCTCTCAACAATTGAGTCATGAAATAGTGCGAAAGTGGAATCACAAAAGACCACTGCACAGGCTCTATTTGCCTAGGGCAACAGAAAGAAGAGAGTCACGACTAGGAGGAGGAATTGGAATGCGTAGCTAATTGCCTCCATGAACAACTACTTCTTTTGCCATGAGACCAGAAGAACTGGATGGTGCCTGGCTACCATTACTGAATATTTTGGTCCAAGGACCTATAGAGGAATCTCGATTTAAAAAAAAAGGGGAAAATGCAGAAACAGAATTTCAAATGGAATCCAAACTTTCTGGAGCCATGGAGGCTGGACGAACCCCCAAAACTATTGCCCTGAGATAATCTTTAAACCTTAAACCAAAAATAACCCCTGAAGTCTTCCTTAAATCAAATAATAGGTTAACTTAACTAGAAAAGAAGGTGTGTCTTAAGCATTGTGCTGTTTTATAAACTATCTGTGTGGGATCAAACTGACAACACCAACTCAAAAGGTCAGACAGGAAACTTAGGGAGCAGTAAGTTGGTGTTAATGAGGGAGGAACAACTCAAAAAAGGAGAGAGAGAATGGTTCCACAACTCAAAGAATTTAACCAATGTCACTAAATTGTACATGTAGAAACTATTGAACTGGTGCATGTTTTGCTGTGTAAATTCCCAACAACAATAAAAATAAAACAAAAGAGCACTGGACTTGGAGTCAGAAAAGTCTGACCCTAGCTTTTGCTGTGTGACCATGGGCAAGCTTCTCCCATTTCTGGGCCTCAGTTTCCTAGTGTGAAAAATGGGTAAGGTTTGACTAGGTGAGACCTGAGAGCCACCGCAGCTTTAAAGTCTTTGTGAGAACTGTGCAAGAGAAGGACAGAACATCCTCTGTTTGGGAGCTGTTAGCAAGTACAGGACAACATCATCATTGGAGTGGAGAGGAGACAGAGAAAATGAAGAAACCATAAGAACTCAAGGGCTGGAGTGACTGAGGACTTGGGGTCCCCCACAAGCCACAAAAAGACCCTCCAGACTTGCAGAGACCTCAAGACCTTCCTGAGCACCTACCCTGTGCTAAGGGCTTGACACGCATGAACTCCTGCAACAGAATGTAGAGGTCACACAGCCTGCCTGGGAGTGAATCCTGGCTCTGCCACTCACTAGTTGTGTGACCCTGGGCAAGTAACTTAACCTCTCTGTGCTTCAATATGAGGATAATAACAGACTTCCTTCTTCATAGGGCTTATGTGAGGATTAAATGGGTCAACTTACATGAGAGGCTTAGAATAGGACCTGGCACATGGCAAGCATTACATATCTGTCAGCTATTATGTATGATAAGGGAGGCCTGGTGGTGCAATGGTTAAGCGCTCAGCTGCTAACTGAAAGGTTGATGGTTTGAACTCATCCAGCAGCTTCATGGGAGGAAGACCTGGCAATCTGCTCCTGTAAAGATTACAGCCAAGAAAACCCTATGGGGCAGTTCTACTCTGTCACGTAGGGTCACGATTAGTCAAAATCCACTCTCCAGCACCTAATAACAACAATTATGATAAGTATTATGAACAGTCACAACTATTAACATCTCTGTTTAACTTGAGGAAACTCAAGTTCAGTGTAAGTAGCTTGCCCAGGGCAACACACAGCTAGTAAGTGGCAGTGCTGTGATAGGAACCCAGAGCTGTAGACTCAACATCTCCACCTTGATCACTACTTTATACTCCTAGAATACAGGACCCCTAGAACTTGGGTGACCCCAGCACCAAGGACAGGGGCCTTTAGGCTGGTTCCAAAGCACCAAGTCTTCCAGAACCTTCTTTATTGAGAAGATAAGGCAAGGACAGCCCAAATGACATAGGTAGTTAAGCAGAGTCAAGGTTTTCAAAGAGCTCCTTCTCCTTAGAGGAAGGCACAAGGGAAGCTGCAGTGGTCTTGGGTGTGTCTAAGAGACGGAGTAACTACTGGGAAGATATCCACTCAATGGCAACGGGTTTGGTTTTTGGCTTTTACTAGGAAGATAAGGAAAGCATCTCAGCTTTTACGCAATAAGACAAGGCTGGAACTGTTGAAGCAGGTAAGGCCAAGAGCAGAGGCCTCAGAAAAGGATGGGAGTGACTGTGGGTGTGGGTTTACAGGGGCCATTTGTAAAGAGGGAGGAAGTAACTGAGCCCTGATGACCGTCTCAGCTCTGCCTCATCATCCCAACTCTGCCTCAGCTCATTACTCAGCCTTTCTTGGGCTCAGTTTCCTCATCTATAAAATGAAGCTGGTCTACACAGAAGACCTCATGCTGCACCTTAGGGACTGCCAAGTTTCTGGTTTCTTCAAGTTCTGAGTTAAATAAAGCACTTTACTATTAAAAAAAAAAAAAACAGTTTAAAAACCATCCATCTTTCATGGAGTGGTTATGAGACAGGACTCTGGAGTCAGCTGAATTCTATCCCTACCACCTTATGCTCTATGACTGTGGACAAGTTACATAGTCTCCTGTGTCTCTGTTTTCTCAACTATAAAAATAATACTAGGAGTTCCTGGGTGGTGCAAAGGTTAACACGCTCTCCCGCTAACTGGAAGGTTAGCAGTTGGAGGCTCAAGTCCACTCAGAGGTGCCTCAGAATAAAGGCCTGGTGATCTACTTTTGAAAAATCAGCCATTGAAAACCCTATGGAGGAGGCGGGGCCAAGATGGCGGAGCAGTCAGACACTTCTGGCGGACCCTCTTACAACAAAGACCCAAAAAAACAAGTAATTTGATTCTATATGGCAATCTGGGAGCCCTGAACATCAAAGGCAGAGTTGAGGAACCAGATTGAGTGGCAGGGGGAGGGAGAGACAGTGTGGAAGCAGGGAAGAGTTGCCAGACCTGACCTGGTGAGAGCCTGGGCCCTTTAAATCTGAGCAGCTCATGGGTGAGTGGTGAGGCAGGCAAGTGGCGGTGCTCCAGAGGAACATTTTCCGCACCAGGAGAGACCCAGTGCCAGAGAGTCTACACAGCCACCCAGAACCAGTGAGAAGCAGCCCTCATCGGTGAAAGATAAGTACTTGCCTACGGCCTACTGCGCAGATCAAAAACACCCCACTTAGGGAAAAAGCTCTCTCCCATTTACCTCCCTGCTCCCTGCTCTGCACTGGGTCCTGGACAGGCTTCAGCAATTGCCGAGTCCCCTGGGCCGGAAGTAGGATCCATCACACGCCCTGAGCCATTCTCCCGGCCTTGGAGAGTGAACAAATGAACAAATGGGAAAAAATAAACTGCCAGCTCCTCTAAGCCAGGAACCCAGGGTAGGCACAGCTCCTTTACCTAGGTACAGGCATAAGGGATCCAAGGACTTTGAGTGCCTCTCCCCCTGAACAGACTTGTGTGGGCCCATCTCAACAGCGTAGGCCCTCATTACCACAGTACAACAGGGTATATACTGGAACTCTAATTTCAACTGTTTCAGCTGTGAAGTGGCAGGTTCTTCACATTTGACACTGCTCTGCCCATTAAGCAGGGTCTTCACCTACCCACATCAGGGGCCTGAGGACTGGTGGCTCCACCCACACCACCTGGCCACCTGTGATAGAGGCCCATGAATAAGAGGTGCCCCCCAGTCCTTAGAGCCAACAGCATTAGGTGCTCATAGTCCAGCTGCAAAACCCACCCACCTACGCACTTTAGGGAACAGGGACATGCCTTCCTCCTGGACACTTGGGGGCAGCCGTCAGCCCCCTGCCTTGCTCAGAGTGTGTCCCCCTGCTGCAGCCAGATGCCTGTGCCTACATCAATCACCCATGCCTATCTAGGACTGTAAGTGAGAGCCTATACCACACACTTGGTGGCTATCTACCTGGGCACCTGAGCTGAATCCATACAGGAGGAGTGGGCGGAGTCCTGAGCTCACATACCTAGTAACAGATCTAACCACCTGGTGACAGGACATTAGAGCTTCAAAGGGGCCAATAATGAAGCTAGCTCATACGAGCAGCCTATTTGGGCATATGAAAACAAAACAAGAAGCTAGGACACAGCAAGCAAACATAAAGTAAACAAATATAATAACTTATTGATCGCTCAGAGACAACAGTCAATATCAAATCCCATAAAGAGGCAATCCATGATGGCTTCAGCAAGCTCCCAAAATAAAGAATCTAGAAATTTTCCAGAGGAGGAAAATTTCTTGGAATTATCAGAGGCAGAATAGAAAAGATTAATATACAGAACTCTTCAAGAAATTAGGAAGGAAATTAAGCAAAACGCAGAACACGCAATAGAGGAACTTAAGAAGATTAGAGAAGAGCATAATGACAAATTTAACAGGCTGCAAGAATCCCTAGAGAGACAGCAATCAGAAATCCAGAAGATTAACAATAAAATTTCAGAATTAGACGACTCAAAAGAAAGTCATAGGAGCAGAATTGGTGCAATGGAAGTCAGAACTAGTGAGATTGAATATAAAGCACTTGACACCAACTTATTTGAGGAAAAATCAGATAAAAGGACTTAAAAAAATGAAGAAACCCTAATAATTATGTGGGATTCTATCAAGAGGGATAACCTATCTGGTGACTGCAGTACAAGAACAGGGATGGATAACAGAAAATACAAAGAGAATTGTTGAAGATTTGTTGGCAGAAAACTTCCCTGATATCATGAAAGATGGCAAGATATCTATCCAAGATGCTCATCAAACCCCACATAAGGTAGATCGCAAAAGAAAGTCACCAAGACATATTATAATCAAATTTGCCAAACCAAAATAAAGGGAGAATTTTAAGAGTGGCTAGGGATAAACGAAAAGTCATCTACAGAGGACAGTCAATAAGAATAAGCTTGAACTACTCAGCAGAAACCATGCAGGCA